GGGCCTGCGGAGAGGCCTGGCTCTCACGGAAGCCCCGCCCCCGGGGAGGGCCTGCAGTTCCAATCGGTGCCTCGGGGCGGAGATGCCATCCTCGCGATGTCCCACCCAAGGTTCCCAGGCCCGCTTGGGGAAGTGAAAACCGGGTGACTGGCCCAGCTCGTGACCCAGAGCTCCGCGGTCATGACACAGATTTTCCACCCCAGCCACATGGCGGTGCTGAGACCACTGCTCCTGGCCGCGCTGCTGTGGGTCCCCGCCAGGACCTTGAGCTGCTACGGGGACTCGGGGCAGCCTGTGGACTGGTGAGCGCGCAGGCGCTGATCAAGCTCGGGGGCCGGGCGGGGGCGCGGCGCTAGGGAGCCCCCGGGATTGCTGCGCTCCCCGGGAAGCCTGGATTTCTTCTCTTCCCTCTACCCCATTTCTGTGCGTTCCCCACTCTGCAGGTTCGTGGTCTACAAGCTGCCGGCGGGGAGCCGGTCCGGGGATTCAGCGCCGAGAGGGCTGCGTTACAAATACCTGGACGCGAGCTCAGGGGGCTGGCGCGACGGCGTGGGGTCCATCAACAGCTCGGAGGGGGCCGTGGGGCGCAGCCTGCTGCCGCTGTACCGGAGCAACGCCAGCCAGGTGAAGAGACGCTGGCCCAACTTGGGGTGGGACTCCAGGGTGGGCCCTGCCTGGGGGACACCTTCATGTTGCCCCTGTCCATCTTCCAATCCCAGCTCGCTTTCCTGCTCTACAATGACCAACCACCTAAAGCCGTCAAGACTCCCGAGTCCTCCAGCCGTGGGCACACGAAAGGTGAGACCTGGGCTGGGGGCGGGGGCGGGGCTCTGATTTCCCTACGGGATTTCCCAGGTTGGCCCCTGACCTGCGTGGGAGTGGGAACTATTATCAGGACGTGGGTATCTCATCTTCATAGTGGCATGACTGGACGAGCCGGTGGCTTGGTCATTAAAGCGGCTGGATTCCACCTGGCTGACTACGCCCTTCCAGTCCTGGACCCAGGGCATTGAAAAACACGCTCTGCATGCCCAGAATCCTGAGGAGGGTGGAGGAGAAGGGGTTGCAGTGAGGTCATGCCCCCTGCGGGTGCTTTCTCACTTTCCCTCTCTTCCTCTTCCTCTTTCTCTCTCTTTCTCTGGCCAGTGCACGGTGCCTGATAGCAAATTTACAGAAAATAAACAAATAAGGGGGACCAGCAGGCGGCGTAATGGCTATGTCGCTGGACTCCCATGTATTCAACCACAGTTTGAGTCCTGGATCCAGTGGCTTAAACTTACACCGGGCACGTGTGCGTGCGTGCCCAAGATCCCGAGAGGAGAATGGAGGAGAAGGGATTGCGGTGTGGCCATCCCCCCTGGGGGGTGATTTCTCCCTTTCTGTCTCTCTGTCTCTGTCTGGCGAGTGCACACACCCTATAGCAAAAACCTCTCCACACACACAAAAAAAGAATTACTTTAATTTATTGTATTTATTTATTTTAATTTGACTGAGAGGGAGGGAGAGAGAGAGAGGAAGTGAGAGAAAGCAAGCCGCCAGATCTGGGACTTGAACCGTGGTCGGCCATGTGGGCGTCCTATGCCCTTAACCACCATGCCACCTGCTAGCCCGCCAGCACCCTTTCTTTTTTAATTTTTTTTTGAGAGATTTTCGCTATAAGGGCGCGTGTGCTCGCCAGACAAACAGAGAGAGACAGAGAGACAGAAAGTGAGAAATCAGCCCCCAGATGGGATGGCCACGCTGCAATCCTTTCTCCTCCATTCTCTTCTTGGGATCTTGGGCACGCACGCACACGCGCCCGGCGTGAGTTTTAAGTCACCGGGTCCGGGACGCGAACCGCGGTCGACTACATGGGAGTCCAGCGACATAGCCATTTCGCTAACTGCTGGTGCTGCCGGCACCCTTTCTAAACCCCCCTCCATACTGGGGGTGTCCTGTCGGGATGCCATGAATAGTCCCCACCCTCCTCGTCTCCCCCTTCTGCAGGTGTCCTGCTCATGGACCAAGAAGGGGGCTTCTGGCTGGTCCACAGCGTGCCACGCTTCCCTGCCCCGGCCTCCTCTGCGGCCTACAGCTGGCCTCACAACGCCCAGCACTACGGGCAGACCCTGCTCTGCGTGTCCTTCCCCCTCGCCCAGTTCGTGCAGATTGGTGAGTGGAGTCGAGGAGGTGGGGTGAGTCCCAGGTTCCCAGGCCCGAACCGGGAGCCCTCTCCACTTTTTTTCTCTCGTCTTCCAGGCAAGCAGCTGACCTACGCTTACCCTCTGGTCTATGACTATAAGCTGGACGGGGTCTTCGCCCAGAAGTTCCCCGACCTGGTGGAGGTAGTCAAAGGCCACCACGTTCGCCACGAACCCTGGAACAGCAGTGTGACACTCACGTCGCAGGCAGGGGCTGCTTTCCAGAGCTTCGTCAAATCCGGAAACTTCGGAGATGGTGAGTTCGAAGATGAGGGTCGAAGCGATCTTTCTCTGCAGAGGGGTTCCCTGGGATGTCCATGGCCGGCAGTAAGCCAGAGACAGAGACCAAGTATCGTTAGGACCCATAATCACACGAGACCAACAGACTCAGATTTAAATACAGGAGGACCAGCAGATGGCGTAGTGGTTATGTCACTGGACTCCCACATGGCCAACTGCAGTTCAAGTCCTGGACCTGGTGGCTTGAAAATCATGCTGGGTGTGTGTGCATGTGCCCAAAATCCTGGTAGGAGAATGGAAGAGAAGGGATTGTGGTGTGGCCATCCTCCCCTCATGGGGCTATTTTCTCATTTTCCCTCTCATTGTCTCTGTCTCTCTTTCCTTTCTGGTAAGCACACAAATTGTATAACAAAAACCTCCAAAAAGGGTCCAGCAGTTGGCATAATGACTGTGTCGCTGGACTCCCATGTTGTCGACCACAGTTCGAGTCCCGGACCCTGTGGCTTAAACTCACACCAGGCACATGTGCGTGCGTGCCCAAGATCCCGAGAGGAGAATGGAGGAGAAGGGATTGCAGTGTGGCCATCCCCCCTGGGGGGTGATTTCTCACTTTCTGTCTCTCTGCCTGTCTTTCTGGAGAGCGTACGCACCCTATAGCAAAAACCTCTCCAAAAAAAAAAAGAAAGAAATCAGTCCCCGGGAAAATGGCTACACCACAATCCTTTCTCCATTCTCCACTTGGGATTTTGGACATGCACGTACACATCCCCAGGGTGATTTTCAAGCTGCTACGTTTGGTGTTCAAAACATGGTGAGCCATGTGGGAGCTAGCCACCAGCCTTAACCTCCAGGTCACCTGCCGACCCCCGTTCCCTCTTTCTGTCCTCTGCAGACCTGTACTCCGGCTGGTTGGCGGCAGCCCTTGGCAGCACCCTGCAGGTGCAGTTCTGGCACAACTCCCCAGGCATCCTGCCCTCCAACTGCTCGGGGCCTCAGCAAGTGCTGGACGTGACCCAGACTGCCTTCCCGGGGCCGGCGGGGCCCACCTTCAATGCCACAGAGGATCACTCCAAATGGTGCGTGACCCCAGAAGGGCCCTGGGCCTGTGTGGGCGACATGAATCGAAATGTCGGAGAGCAGAAGCGGGGCGGGGGCACAGTGTGTGCCCAGCTACCGGCCCTCTGGAAGGCCTTCCAGCCCCTGGTGAAGGGCTGGGACCCTTGCGGGGAGGAGAGCAAGGCTGGGGAGCCTAGCAGAAGGTCAGTACAATGAGCCAGTTTGGACCAGAGTTCGAATCCCAGTTCAACCCTTTGCTCATTGTGACCTGAATTATGTATCTTCGTTTCTTTTCTTTTCTTCTTCTTTTTTTTTTTTTTTTTGAGATTTTTCATGGTTTTTTTTTTTTTTTGAGAGATTTTTGCACATGTGCTTGCTGGAGAGACAGAGAGACAGAAAGCAAGCGATCATGCCCCACGGCGGGATGGCCACGCAGCAATCCCTTCTCCTCTATTCTCCTCTTGGAATTTTGGACACGCAGGCACACGCGCCCGGTGTGTTTTCTAAGCTACCGGGTCCAGGACTTGAACTGTGGTTGACTCCATGGGAGTCCAGCGATATAATCATCACACCAGCAGCTGGTCTCAATTATGTGCCTTAACTTCTTCGTGACTCAGTCTACTGATGTATAAAATGAGTGTTATGATCGCCTTTCAGGATTGTGGAGTAAAAGGGAATTGATGGACCAGGTTGTTGGTCATTGCTCCAGGTGTGTGCGCATGCGCGTACGCACACCACCTGCTGGCTAGTCCGCAGCATTGCACCTCCTCTTATCTCCCTAAGGGCCTGGGGGCAGACTGGAAGGCGGATCACACAGCAGGGACCACCCCAAACTCCTCCCTCTTCCATGGTAACCAGGGCTGGAGTTGCGCCCACAACAAGCACAGGCACAAGGGGGCAGGGACACACGACGGCTTGCTTGGCTGGGAGCCCCGGAAAGCTCACGCGGCACGAACGCACTTTATTTATATGTGTACATATGTATACAGATGGCTGTACAGCGCGGGGCCAACGGCCCCTTGGCTACGGGGCTGGAGGCGCAGGGCCAGACGCCCCTTTTTTCAGGCCTGCTGGGAACACAGCTTC